AAAATGGTAACTCAAAATATTTTATGAACTTTACATTACAAACATCTTAATTGTAAGTATTTTGTAGATTGCTTGCAGAGAACTTGGCTTTTCAAATGGCCGTTATGACCGTGATGCTTGCCTAACAAAGTTCAAATGCAATGGAGAAGAAAACCTTGTCAGTGTGAAATGCCATGGCAATGAAACTAACATATCTGAGTGCATACATAAAGGACATGTAGATCACACAAACTGCAGTTTTAGAGATGTCTTCATAAAATGTTACAGAGGTATGTATTCAAATCTTTTCCTTGATTATATGTTTAGTACTTTGATAATGATCCACATGGTATGTATTCAAATCTTTTCCTTGATTATATGTTTAGTACTTTGATAATGATCCACATGGTATGTATTCAAATCTTTTCCTTGATTATATGTTTAGTACTTTGATAATTCACATGGGTTATTCCAGAGTTGGCCCTTGTATTTCTTCCTAACATGAGTGGTATATAATTAATAATGAAAATGGGATATTTGTTTTAGCTGAGAACCTCACAAGTCAATGGGACAACTTAACAACTGTACCACTGTCACCCTTGGCTGAATGTGAAACCATCACAGCTGCCAGAAAGATGGAAATGGCCAATGATATAACACCTTTGTCATGTGAGGTGAGTCCCATTGTCATTACACTTCAATTGCAGTCTACCAATGTCAGCTGAATTTTCTCCTTAAATTTCTCACATCATGTACAGTCCCTTAGCTATACAAGGTACTTTTTTCCCACGGTACACGAGTTGAATTCCTCTTGTCATGTTCAAGAGACACTCTTTGCAGTGTTAGGTGAGTTCCCTAAGTTCTTTATTGTCATATCACTTTGAAAGTTGTCATAATTTGGCAAGTTTTCTTTGCCATGTTAGGTATTCTTATTTTGACTCTTGCACAAATACACTTAGTCTCTTTGTCATATAAGGTAAACCCCATTCGTCATTGCTGACAGGTAATTGTATTTTTCATGCTAGTTAACTCTCAGCAACTCTCTCTGTTGTGTTAATTGATCATTGGTCAATTTGAGAACTTTATGATCCTTATATTTTATTCACCACTAAGATCATCCTGGGCAGTTTAAAGATGGCCAAAGTAAAAGCAGACTGGTAGTTACTGATAATTCCACCACAAGAGCAAAATACCAGTACATAATGATTTCATTGTAATTAATGCAACATAATCAAAATATCTCAATGCATCACATATATTCCAGGGAAGGTGTGAAGAGGATCCTACTAAGAGAAACACATGGTGCTACTGTGATTCAAAATGTGCTGCAAACAACGATTGCTGTTTTGATTATGCCAAAACATGTCGCAATGGAGGTGAAGATCTTATTGAAATAACAGATGATAACACTAGCAAAGGTCCCGCTGAGAGTCCAGTTGACACTCATGTATCTGCCAAAGAGTATGACATGAGCCAGTATGAGGAATGCATAGAAACCTATGAGAATTACGATCAACCAAAGCGGTATAAGATGATATCAAGATGCCCGCCTCATACACAGGATATGCGAATTCTGAAACAATGTCATCAACCACCAAACGTGACTGGCAGCATTAGCCATCTTCCTGTTTATATTAACCAAACAGGTAAAACATTCAAGAATTTTTACTGCGCATTTTGTCATGGATTTGAGCTTGATGATATTGTAGCCTGGTCTTTAAGATATGAATGTTTGAACATTGATAGAGTTGCTAAAACTATATTCAAAGACATAAAATTGTTGGATTTTGGTACAATGGTTGATCACATCCTCTGTACATTAAGGAATGGGAGGGATGTGCTGCAGAACTTAAAACAATGTAATGTCAATTGTCAACTAATCACGATTCCCCCACATGGTGTTATATGGAGACAATGTCACCACCATGTTGATGAATGTGATGCTCGATATGTTCAGACTGCATATAAACAGTTACGCGATCTTTATCTGTTGAACGACATGTGTTTGAAATATTCAGCCCCAGTGATTCTCCAGACCAACGATGGTATAATGAATGATTCTGTAGATACTTCCAGACAAGTCATCTACAAGAATATTCATTGTGCAATGTGTAATGGTGCTGATCCCCTAAAGTTAGGCTGCATGGTCTCTAATATTACAAACAAGCCTAGTCGTGAGCTATTTACGATCACAGGTAAATTCCACAAGACAATAGTAAATGGTATGAAATTGTTTACGATTGCATGGTATTATTTGTATGAGGATTCAATTGTTTCAAGCAACAATTCTGACTGGGCGGCATGTAGCGAGATTTCCCAACGGCACAAACATAGTCAAGTGCCTAACTTTATAGATTCTTTACGTTATTTACGTAATAAATGCTCTTACATAGGCTGCTCGAACAGCTATTCAAGGGTAAATAGAGCATGCAAGAGAAATGCTATCGAAGAAAAAGTTTTCAATTATCCTCCAATCGTGTATGAAAAAACAAAGTGTGGCTCACAGAAAATTTCGGTAAACACTAGTTTTACAAATGAAACATCATCACAGGAGGCTGCAATCAAAAGCCAAGCACATGTGCACCATTCACATAGACACTTTGCACCCTTGCTGTTGATTGCGTTTAATATCTTGATAGCTCTCTGTGAAGAATTTTTGTAAGAACTTTATTCTCTGTGTGTATGATGCACGTGTTGCATAAAGCTTGTAAAAGATCAAAGGGAATTATACACCTTATGGTTTTTTGACCTAGTTCAAGAAACATATATACAGGTTTTTACTCAGGAAATAGACAATTATCTGCACAATGTCAGTAAAATGCAGAGCTGGTGGCTCTTTGGACCCTTTGAAATCATAATGTTGGGTCTAAATTGAGGTATTGTCCAATATATGTATTCAGCCAATTGAGGTATTCTTTAAAGTATGTAATGTAAGACCAGTGGTAGAAATGTTTGTATGGCCAATTGAGGTATTCTCTCATATATGTAAGGCCAATTGAGGTGTTTTTTAAAGTATGTAATGTAAGAACAATGGTGAAAATGTCCCATGTTTGTAAGACCAATCGAGGTATTCACCCTAATATATGTAAGGCCAATTGAGGTATTCTCCCATATATGTAAGGCCAATTGAGGTATTCCTTAAAGTATGTAATGTAAGAACAATGGTGGAAATGTCCCATGTTTGTAAGACCAATCGAGGTATTCTCCCATATATGTTAGGCCAATTGAGGTATTCTCCCATATATGTAAGGCCAATTGAGGTATTCCTTAAAGTATGTAATGTAAGAACAATGGTGGAAATGTCCCATGTTTGTAAGACCAATCGAGGTATTCTCCCATATATGTTAGGCCAATTGAGGTATTCTCCCATATATGTAAGGCCAATTGACGTATTCCTTAAAGTATGTAATGTAAGAACAATGGTGGAAATGTCCCATGTTTGTAAGACCAATCGAGGTATTCTCCCATATATGTTAGGCCAATTGAGGTATTCTCCCATATATGTAAGGCCAATTGAGGTATTCCTTAAAGTATGTAATGTAAGAACAATGGTGGAAATGCCCCATGTTTGTAAGACCAATCGAGGTATTCTCACATATATGTTAGGCCAATTGAGGTATTCTCCCATATATGTAAGGCCAATTGAGGTATTCCTTAAAGTATGTAATGTAAGAACAATGGTGGAAATGTCCCATGTTTGTAAGACCAATCGAGGTATTCTCCCATATATGTTAGGCCAATTGAGGTATTCTCCCATATATGTAAGGCCAATTGAGGTATTCTTTAAAGTATGTAATGTAAGAACAATGGTGGAAATGTCCCATGTTTGTAAGGCCAATCGAGGTATTCTCCCATATATGTTAGGCCAATTGAGGTATTCTCCCATATATGTAAGGCCAATTGAGGTATTCTCCCATATATGTAAGGCCAATTGAGGTATTCTTTAAAGTATGTAATGTAAGAACAATGGTGGAAATGTCCCATGTTTGTAAGACCAATCGAGGTATTCTCCCATATATGTAAGGCCAATTGAGGTATTCTTTAAAGTATGTAATGTAAGAACAATGGTGGAAATGTCCCATGTTTGTAAGGCCAATCGAGGTATTCTCCCATATATGTTAGGCCAATTGAGGTATTCTCCCATATATGTAAGGCCAATTGAGGTATTCTCCCATATATGTAAGGCCAATTGAGGTATTCTTTAAAGTATGTAATGTAAGAACAATGGTGGAAATGTCCCATGTTTGTAAGACCAATCGAGGTATTCTCCCATATATGTAAGGCCAATTGAGGTATTCTTTAAAGTATGTAATGTAAGAACAATGGTGGAAATGTCCCATGTTTGTAAGGCCAATCGAGGTATTCTCCCATATATGTTAGGCCAATTGAGGTATTCTCCCATATATGTAAGGCCAATTGAGGTATTCTTTAAAGTATGTAATGTAAGAACAATGGTGGAAATGTCCCATGTTTGTAAGGCCAATCGAGGTATTCTCCCATATATGTTAGGCCAATTGAGGTATTCTCCCATATATGTAAGGCCAATTGAGGTATTCTTTAAAATATGTAATGTAAGAACAATGGTGGAAATGTCCCATGTTTGTAAGGCCAATCGAGGTATTCTCCCATATATGTTAGGCCAATTGAGGTATTCTCCCATATATGTAAGGCCAATTGAGGTATTCTTTAAAGTATGTAATGTAAGAACAATGGTGGAAATGTCCCATGTTTGTAAGACCAATCGAGGTATTCTCCCATATATGTAAGGCCGATGGAGGTATTCTTTAAAGTATGTAATCAAATGGTTGAAATGTCTCATGTTTGTTAGGCCAATTGAGGTATTCTCCCATATATGTAAAGCCAATTGAGGTATTCTCCCATATATGTAAGGCCGATAGAGGTATACTTAAAAGTATGTTATGTAAGAACAATGGTGGAAATCTCCCATAAAAACAAACAGGATTAAACTCTCTTCCTCGAGGACAGATGAAAGATGTATAACATATAAAGATCTGACTTACCCTTTCCCAGGTGAGTTCTTCAGCTGCTCTGTCCCACTCTATAGGATTCCAATTATCACCTAGGCAACAATAAACAATATAAATAACAAGGTATTACCATGACAATATGTCAACACCTAGTTGGTTATTGAAATTAGTTAATAAAAAGTGTAACAATTTGTTACACATAACAAACTCCATATGCTGGTCAGAAATAACAGATTCAGTAACGATATGTCACTATCTAAGTATATATGTAAATTAGAGAAAGGTCTGTCATGGTTCGATTAACCACAGTTTTTGGCCCAACGGTTTTACTGTCTTATCACCATGGAGTCCAGAACGAATCCATCACGCCCAGGGAAATAGTATATTTCGTGCAGTGTAACATGAATCCCAATTTTTGCGCAAATAATTACAGCTCTATTTCATCTAAACAGCGAATGAAAGTACCATTTTAAAAATGACAATTTAACAACTTTAAACGTTCCATAGGGTAATAAAATAGTCTCCTTGGATATTTCATTGTGCTTCTACATCTTGGAGGAACATATTGCTATTTGGTGTGTGAACTCATTTCGCACAGAAACACATTTGTTCTAAAAATGGCAGACTCTTTTTCTGAAGGCCAAAGAGCTAGTAAAACCATAATAAAACCTATCCCTGTGAAGCCTAAGTTGGATGTTTGGAAAGTATTCCGTTTCTTCGTAGAGTATATGTCTACCATATGTCAGTTGTGCAACAGGACATTAAAATTCGCTGCAGGTTTCCCATTTTTGTGATTGAAATTTTTTTGTACAAATTAGACTATAAGTCTTACGATCTTTATAAAACTTTAATTCATTACTTATCTTGCTACTGCTTTCTATTACCCACTCATTGTAACTTTTTTATGATTGACGTATACACGTTTTCATTTGTCCTACCCCCAGGTCCTAAGTCAGGTGGAGAATTTGGGTAAACACCCCCACCCCCCCCCCCAACTAGGCCACTGCACTGTTATTCCCAACCGAGGGACATCTGTACTATCCATATAATTTCAATTTTCAGAAAACACATCTAACATGAGGAAATATATTGAAGCAACTTTGATGACCAGCTACAAATAATTCTAGTTATTTAATTCTATAAATATTCAATGATTATTAGCCTTCACAATTCCATATTGATCAATTATAAGATTGAAAATAAAATGATATCCCCTTATAATACAATATAAAAGTGAAATATCTTTAAATTTTGCCATATTTGTGGCATCAATTGCAATTTATGAGGCCCACCTTGTTAAGTCTAGATTGAAGAACCGACTGAACCGAGAGACAAGACCTGAGAATCGTACCGAACTGAACTGTGACTGACCCTTCTCTAATAAAAATAAAACAATTTTTTATTATGAATTGAAAGCATTTTTCTGTCCCATTTTTAATCAGCAATAGTATTCCACGATAAAAAGCCAATCGGGATGCCCACCCACCCACCAACCCAGAAAAACTAAACTAAACAAAAGCATATATCATGTCATAGTGACATAACCTCTAAATATAGCTATCACTGAGGTGTTCTGTTGCTTATTCTGTTATTTGTGACCAGCATATGGTGTTTGTTATAAAAAAAAATTGATTCAACTTTTGGTCGATATATGGTGTTCATATTAGACACATGTTACTCTATTATTCAGAAATATATGTATGTTACATGTATCATATTAATAAAAAATACCTTGTACTGCATCATTTCCATTTCCATTGTCTTGTTCGGCTTCTTCGCCTTCCCCAACATCAGCTGCATTCTGATTGGCTGCTGGCATAGCTCCACCCACATTGGCGCCACCTATATTAGCTCCACCTCCCCCATTAGCACCATTTTGTACATTAACCTGAAGAAAGAAATGAATTACTGACATTCCAAAAAAGACATAGAGACAATTAAGTATTTTGGATCTTAAGACTCAAAGACTTTTCCTGTTAGCCAAAAACAATTCAGATCGAAGAGACAATTAAGTAATTTTAACCTTGAGAAACCATTCAGATCAAAATCAAACATATCAACGATTTGACTTATGCACATTTTTGACCGAGAAGGAAGAAAATGAAACCTACTTGATTTTGATTGGCTGGTGGATCATGTTCCAGCCAATCAGGACCTCCTCCATGTAGAATCTGTTCTCGCAACCAAACCAGGCTGATAAAGGCACATAGTGTACAGGTCACCACAAAACAACCTTGGAAACAATCGGAAAGAAGATTGTTCCTGGAAAAACAATAATAACAGACTGAACAAGGCATTAACATGACAAAATGTCACTACCTGCAGTTGCTCACAATATTATTAGTTCAATCTTAATTCAGATTTGAATTTCTGGGATCCTGTAGGTGATTTTGACAAAATAAATTGGTCAATTTGAAGCAAGTTGAAAAAAGCACTTTTTTGAACCTGAGGTCATTGAAGGTGAAATCTCAAATCTAAAGTAAGATTTGAACTTCTGAGAACTTGTAGATGATTTTGAAAAAAATTGGTCACTTGGAGCAAGATGAAAAAAAGACCTTTTTGACCTTGAGAAGGTCATTGAAGGTTGAATCTATTTTGACCTTGAGAATGTCATTGTAGGTTAAATCTATAGTCAGTTTTGAACTTTTGAGAACTTCTAGATGATTCTAAAAAAAATTGGTCAATTTGAAGCAAGTTGAGAAATACCTTTTGACCTTTTAACCTTTTTTTACCTTGAAACATTGAAGGTAAAATCTTGAACAAAAAGTCAGATTTGAACTTGTGGAAGGTTGTAGATGATTTTGAAAAAAATTGAAGTCAGTCTAAACAGTATTTGTTAAGTTATTGGAAGTTGTGAGAATTTGTTACAGACACTGATCACCAACTATCGATCGCCAACCATCAATCGCTGTCCGAAAAACGAAGACCATAACAATATGTAACCACTTTTTGGTGTGGTGACAATAATAAACTCATATTATGTTTTTTCTTTAAAATCATGATTACCATGTCACTGTTTTACTTTATATACATACAATGCAATATATTTTTAAAATAGCATAATTGTTTCGAAGATTTGTTTAGCTCCAAGTTTAAATAATGGCATATTTTTATTTGTAAAATTTATATGAGAAATTGCATGTCAAAAATTTACAAATATAGAATCTAGCAAAACTTATAAAACACGGCTGAAACTCATAGTAAAGTAATTCACAACATCAATCGCAATATATTATCTGACTTTAAAAAACAATGAATGACATTATACTTTATATGGACAAAAGCAGTAGGTCCTTCTTTAATTCTGTTTCTCATAAATTGACCTATCTTTTTCAAAATAAGTTTAAGAATGTCTAGGAGTATATACCCATCTTTAGGGGCGGGGTCAAAATATCGATGTTCATATGGAGACGAAAGTAATTTCGTTTGGACAACAACCCCCCCACCCCCCCTCTAGACGAAAGCTTAGGTCACTTCAAAAAACATTGATTTTCAGTGAATTAACACACGTTCGCAATTTAACTGCATTGAACTCTTCAAAAGGAGGAGGGAAAAGTACGAAATTTATTTGAAAAATGATCGAATTATCGTCTTTATCTACCGATATTTTGGACCTATCACACAAAAAAGCTCACGAACTATTGAAAACAAGCCTTTTTATCAGAACATAGCGCCAGGAAAAGTGGGTAAGTCCAATTATTTTTTGTATATCAGATCCGAATTATCGATGTTTTTTTGGTCAACGAAAGTGCCCAAAAAAACCCTCCCCCCTCGCGAAAGTACTTTCGTCTCCATATGAACATCGATATTTTGACCCCGCCCCTTAAGACATATTATTGAAATACCCAAATCCAAACACAAATCCAGTAAATTGATTCAGACTACTGGAAATCAATGGGATCAATAATAAAAACATTGCAAGCCTGGATTGAGAGACTGTCGCCAAGCAAAAATGTCACATGTACTCACGTTGACAGCATGTCTAACGGAAGAGTTAGCAATGAACTAACAGATCCAGTGAAGAGACATCTATAAATGCGACCTGGAAACAAAAACAACATGAAGTCTCACATTCTCTCACAATATGATTATCTGAACGTCTCTCTTATTCCAAACAATATATATCTCAAAAGGACAATTGACAATGGCCCTTATTTTTTATTTATACACATTCAAGGAAAATAGGTGATATTCAATCATTCAACAGTAAGTTACTCTCTATGTCCATAACTTATCTTAATAATCAAGATGTATTGGATATTTATTCAAATAAAAGTACCAAAACATAATATTTAATTCATAAAACAAATTTTTGAGAAAATGCAATTCAAATTTACTTCATACTTAAACTTATATGTACCATAATATGTACTATTTACTTATGTACCATTTTATGGTGTATACATTTTAAACTTACAAGCTGTCAAAGGTACTACCCCTAGCCATGCAAAGGCCACAAGTGTATAGTGAAGCCAATATCTGACTGCACGCCCAATGTTCTTTAACAGGCCACTCATTATGTCTTTTATAGGCAGGCGCTTCGGCATGTCCGGGGAGTAAACTAAAAGAAGAAATTTTGGAAATACATGTAAAATCTATCCTCCTCCTCTAAGGGTCTATGTTGATAATCTGCAAGAGGCTAATAAGCCCATTTATAGCAGATGTGCAATTCAACAGTAAGACACTTTGAATAGAATATGATTTAAACCTTAACATCTAAAATAGATCTATAATTTGGTTTCAACTCATTTTTAAAATAAAGGGTATCTAGATCCAGAATACTTTCTTAGAAACAAAATTTTACATCTGCTTGGGAGGGTGAGATCTATGAATGTTGGTGTTATAATAAATGTTCTCATGAAAGTTTCTTACTTGGCTGGAAAGCAAATCTGTGTTTGCAAAGCTCGCAATATTCCTTGCGACTGTACTTGAGCCATTGTAGTAGACTGAAACAAATCAAAAAGTTGAAATTATTCATTTGAAAGTGAAATACATAATGAATACATCTATTTCAGGTCACAACATTTTCACATTTCAAAAAATCAAACAAAGTATTTGTTTTATTTTATGCCCCACTTATTTTGTGAAGAAGCTGATATTTTGCCAATAATATGCTAACATTGGAGGAGGTCAATCAACTTTTCCGTTGACTCAACACAAACGCTTTGGGAAATCTTATGGAAAATCTTACCAATCTTGGTGGACAAACTTAATGCTCCCTGTACAGACGCATGGATGATATAATGGCCTTTCTTGACCTCCTTCTGAGCGGCAAACACGGCATATATCTAAAAAGAACAGGAAATATTGGTTATGTTGATACGAGTACTGATATAAGTTGTATTGAAACATCATTTTTAACTTGATAACGACCTTCATTTTACTTTTTTAATTTTGACACAAATGTTAGAAAAAACAAATTGTAATCCCATCTGCAAAAGGGCTTGAGCAAGCTATTGGTAGCACTTTTAGTCCCATAGAAGTGGATTTTCAAACTTGCTAGAAGAAAACATTTTCCTGAATCATAATTTTACTTAATGTCTTACCTTTCATTTTTTATTGACCCAGAGATAACTTTTTGCATCGATATTGAAAAAATCAGGATGATATTATAAGCCCCAACTTTGGCTCTTCGGAAAGGACACACACATAATTGCAATTATAAAGGGTATATATAAGTTTCAATATATGTTCCACATTTTTTGTTTTAAAGCATGCACATATATGGTTCTAAATAACTAATAGTTTTTATCTGAATCATTATCATAGAAATGAATTAGGAAGACCAATCTCGTCACTTGGCCCGTGATTTCGGCAAAAAAGTCCAATCATTTTTCCAATTACGATAATACTTAATAATGTTGAATATCCTGTTGATTTTTCCTTCTGACTGAATCATTACAAAGTCCTTAATAATGTTTGATTATATATGAGACAATCATGATAGTATATATGTGTACCATATGACGAAACTACACTTGTCCAAAGCTCTTCGGAAAGGACATTTTTTAGTGTATTGCTAAATTTTGTTTAACAGATTGAATTTGAGGGAGCAATTTTCGGAGATTTTACATTTGTTTCTATTCATGTATTCATGTTTTCGAGATTTACCACTGATTACATCATTAACTGTGATTTTTCATAGGTAAATATATGGGCGATAATAGGGCAAAACATCATTAAAGTCATCACTTTAAGGCTATCATGAGTGTACTTGTAGTTTTTCTAGTTGCTGGGCTGGGGACATGTAGGCCTATGAAACAGCATTATGCACAGAAACGACTCAATTGTTGGTGGTAATTGTCAGTGAATTGAACCTATTATCACAGGAAAAATAGTGATGAAGATACAATTTTATATTTGCGGCATTCTTCATTTGCAATTCTACACTTGAGTGTTTTAAAGGGTTTTACAGTACTGTTCAAATCAAGATTCAATGTAATATTTGTAAACATTGTGCTAATGCCTTTATAAACCAGTAGAAAAGTTAGTTATTGACATCCAATACAGCATTCCTAATCAGAGACTGAATTGCTCTTCGGAAAGGACACATTTACTTTTGTAGTTCCTGTTTAAGTCTTAGTTACTTCAGTAAAGATATTTTATGTATAAAAGTTCATCAGAAAATATATTCCAGTGTGTTTCTCTTCAATATTGTTGGTAAATGCACTGTTTTGACAGAGTTTGTCTTTTCCGAAGAGCTCTTCGGAAAGGACTTTTTTCTTGTGTCGGAATTTTAAAATTGATTTTACAGGTATATATGACAGTTCAAAGCTATTTATTTGTTTTGAATATTCAAGAAACTAAATGCATTTTGTTTTAAAATAGTTTTTAGGGTATCATATTACTTCAGTCTTAAAATACACATGCTCTTCGGAAAAGACATTTGCGTGTCGGAAAATCAGTTAGTTATTTTGAGAGCCAATATCTCAGGAACCACTACAGCCTTTTCTATAATTTTTTTAGTGACAGAATTTTAACATTCCGTACTTTTGATATCATCTTAAAAAAACTGTAAGCAAAGATTGGAAAATATGTTGAAAAATTCAGTCTTTTTTAACATAAAATTTACAATGAAATGTTACACCAACGGTTATGTGCTACAAGCGGTTATAAAAACTCTATACACTATTATGGACACACTTGTTGCATATCATTTTAAAGCAAATTCCTTAATCTTTCCAATGCAGCCAAATTACTTTAACTTACTCTATTCAAGTACATGTTTGAAGTATATATGTAAATGTGGATTTTTTCTTGGGAATTTGTTACATAGAGAATGAGGCATATTTTGATACATGAAAATTTATAAAAAAATTATCATTCATCTTTCAAAAAAATGATATCTTCCTCAGACATATAGTGGGTATACCTAATTAATAAGACTGATTTCCCATCTGTATCTTAAGCCTTGCATTTTTTCTGGGTGCCAATATGAAAGTGCTACCAATAGCTTGCTCAAGCCCAAAAGTAAATTTCCATGTTAAAAAAGTGTAATCAATGCAGAAATGTAGTTTTGAGTTGAGGGGAGCACGTCCTATCGGCCTCGTATGTAATTCACCTTTGTTTCTGGTAGTTACGCATTAACGAAATAAAGCATCATATTCAAAAGTATTTCTGCTAGTGATGTAATTTTGTAAAATTAAAAATGTGAACACCTTCCAAATACAAACACTTTGGCTGTTCACAATGATGTTCAGATTGACAGGTTTTATCATACCACTGGAATGGTATATTTCAAGCCTTATGCCTCACGTATGACCAATGGTTAAGAAATGCAAGCAAGATGAACATATCAAAATTGATGAAATAGCCATTTCAAGTTTTAAATCCATCATTCCTAATAACAAGATGTCTTTACCAAAGATATTAACATTCAGACATTTGAAACACACAATTCTATTCTAAGAATGAAATGCTGTGAGATAACTAAGATAATTATGATTCTAACCCAAACCCTAATCGAGGATGGAGGAAATGACAATAAACCACTGGGAAATATTATAGAATAGCCTGTTCAGAAGAGTCATGATTAACCTTTAATTAACAATTATTTCATTTATAAGGACAAAAATCCAGTTAACAAAATGGATTCCATGTAAAATTAAGTCCTCACTTGGGAGATAACACATTAAAGTAATTTGTTTACTAAATAGGATTATAAATCATGCAAGCTTCATGGCAATAACATCATCTATCGATTTTTATCATTACCCTTGAATATTGTACACAAAAAGTACCTCTATGATTTCAAAAATAACACTTCCATTACGCCTCACAATTACCCAAAAAAACATTCAGGGATATTTATAGAATAACAATCACAAATGAGCACAAGATCATTGTATGCCTAAACTTACCATCACAATATTAGAGAATTATCTTTTTTTAGATGTCTTTTTTGTTAATAATTAAGCATCAAATCCCATTTTTGTTTTTATTATTATTAGCAATGGGTGGAACTGTTCGAACAGAAAATTGTTCACTGGATTTTAAATAATAGCAAGTACAATTAGATTCTAAAAGTTTTCAACAATTTAAAGATGACCCTAGCAATTACAACATCTGAAAAAGTGCTAGAAATTGGAACACTATTGATCGTTTCCATGGCAACAATAATTGGCAATTTCTTAAAACTGATTATAATATTCAAGAATCAAGGATTAAGAACGCCTGTGAATGCCTGTGTCGGGAACTTATGCATGACAGGTATCTTGATTGGAAGCTTTAACATTCCCATGACAATGGTTTCCGTAGGAACAGGAGACTGGCCGTTTGATGCAGCCGTATGTCAATTCGTTGGATTCTTCAACATGTTAACGCTCGTGGAAAGTGTGATTTCGCTTGGTGTTATTAGTGTGAATCGTTTCATAATGATAAGCCATCATCAAATATATTCAAAGATTTTCAACTTTACGCATACATCAATTATACTTTCAGGTAATAAAAACAATATCCTTTCTGTAAAAACAGTGAACACTAAACCAAACAGAAACTTATATCAATCTGTCATTAGTGATCAATACAAATAGAATAGAATGACACTCTTGAATCGAGATTTTCCAATTTTCATCAAATTGATATAAACAAACTACCAGTTATGAAATACCATAAGAACACTTGAATCATAGCAACTGATGAGTCAATCAATAAACATCGTTGTACATGTATGATGTATGTATATTTAATAATCAGCCATCTTTTGTCATAGATTAACACTTTTGATTTCATTGTTCCAGCCTCTTGGGTATTCTCGGGAGCTATCTCTGTACCCCCTGCAATTGGCTGGGCAAGCTACAAATATATCGCCACACAATCTATTTGCTTCTGCGACTGGAAACACTCTGTGTCGTATACCGTTTTCATGTTTTGCCTCTGCTTCACTGCCCCATTTGGTATCATGACATTCTGCTACACAAAACTTATACTTGTTTTTCGACGAAGTCATAATCGGGTAAGACATCGCTCTCCTCAAAAACAGCAGAGAGAGATACCAGTCTCAGAAACTACAATCTCATTGGCTCCAGTTGAGCAAAATAGATTAAAAGTGCCGAAGAAAAAGGAGAAAATCATCCCTGAGGAAATGAGACTGACAATATCACTGATGGTTGTTGTGGTAACATTTGTGTTGTCTTGGTTACCGTTCTGTACTGCTACTTTAACAACAGTGTTTTCTGAGATGACACTAAACCGAGCTGGCAGTATGACAGTCTTAGTCCTAGGACTCGCCAACAGTGCCTATAACCCGATCATATATGGTATCATGAATAAACAGTACCAAGAAGGCTTCAAGAAAATTTATCGAAAATGCTGGAAACGTCAAAACATTACGAAAAACAATGAGCTGAGTGTCAATCCCTCAAGTTTGACAAAAGGTGACACCTGACTGAATCTCTAGATATATCAGTAATCATAAATTGATATTCTAATATGATACATGATGTCACAATAAGTAGAACAATTTATTGGTCTATATTGGGGCATATATGACCACCTATTTAAAAAGTAAAGCAACTGGTTCGTTTATCATATTAGAATCATAACAAAGACTTCGATTCTTTGATTTATCGCAAATATATGACCTCAGATTTTATTCTGGCTACTGCCAAAACCCCAATCGCTACGTGATTTCGGTATTTAAACAATGCATACTACAATGTACATAACCTTAATGAAAATGTACCACCTGAAGTTGGCACTGGATATAAGTAATTGCAATATCAACATTTTTTGATTATATTTTCCAGATATTTAATGATTATAGCATTGATTCTAAAAACCCTGGTATTATTTTCAAAGTGATGTTTGCTGACACAGACCATTTGTAAAAATACTGACATCGAGCCATATGGTCAAAACATTAATTGATGCTGGCTTTGTTGGAGAATATTGATGCTGCACTCTGGCTAGGCTACCAATCCTCCTTGTGAATTGGTTTGTGTTTATATTTGTATAATAATGTAATGTTTATATGTGATTGAGTTACCGGGATTACACACAATTCTGGATCATCATTATAGATGTACGAAATTCAATTTAGCGTGTTGGGTATAATGCTGTTATAATAACTTTGACTAAGAAACCTATTTAAGAAATCTTATATCCTCTGATAAGCATTTAATTAGGGTGTTGAAGTAAACAAAACATAAAGCTATTACATTAATTCCAATATACAGTAAGGGGAAATCTATTAGTGCATTTGTGTTTTCAACAATTCCATTTCCAAATTCATGTTTTAAACATGTAAAATTACTTTATGTTTGTTGAAAATATATGATTATTTCATAACACATTTTTATTTCATATTTCAAAGTTTCAAATATAATGGAAATACAATGATTAAAGTCCCCGTCTAAAGTTTGAAAATATTTTTTTATCATTCATTTACTATTTGTCAGGACTTAAAAAGTGATTTTAGAGATTTTTGAACAAAAAAAAATTTGGAAAAAAAAGTTGTGAGCATTTCATTTCTCAAATATTCAAATTTCCCGCCATTTTTCAAAAAAAGTTGAAATTTCTTAATCATCAAATATTTCTTAATGCATTTCAAAAAAGATTATCTTTTTAACACCAATGCAAAGGTTGAACAAAGGACACACTATTTCAATAATAAAATGCCATATTTAATGGGCCACTTCAATGTTTTAACATATCAAAAATATTTTGAAACATTAGTGATGTCACTAAGGTACCAAAAACTTTTTGAAAAAAATTGAAATTTTTTTTTCGATGTCAATCTTTTCTAAATATGCTAGACTTTCATAAAAACCAATGTTGATTGTCTAACCAGGTCAAAAGGAAGAATAAATTATGTTTTAGATATCATTGTACCATTGGTTTCTATGAGAACTAAAATTTTGAAATGCATTTTTCTCAGAACCATTTTCATGCACTGATAAGTTCATTTCTCGCTTATTTATGAACCGATTTTCTTAATTTTTTGGGCAAAAACATGGGAGGATGAATGCTATGCATTGGTATGAATTGTGGCTAATTAAAAGATATGAGTGACCTGTAAAAGTTGGTTTTAAATAAATTCACAAATTTTGGAACAAAAAGTCTATCAAAAACCACTTTTTGAAATTAAAAAAAAAAGTTTCACATATCACACTTTGATAACATTGGGTAAGACTACAATATAAGCCAAAGTGGTTTAAACTTTGGGGCTTTGGTTAATGGGGCCTTTAAAGAAGCACATGGCACCCATCTTGAAAAATGGAGGCCTTTACTTGCTATTTTATGATTTTTGCTGTAACTTGAAAAGTAGTGGAGCGATTTTCTTCATACCGGTATTTGGTTTGTGAATACAATAAGCATGGCACACTGTCTAATGACACTTTTGGTAGAAGGTGGCCATTTTGAAAAATGGCTGCCATTTTTGCTATATACCTTGTTTGTAAAAATGCCAGCCAATGCTGTTCAATGGGATTTGCTTCCCTTTGGCGTTGCTGTTGTCTAGTTTTGATATTGCAAATATGCGATATATGATGTAACTATACTATCTTTTAATCAAGTCTAAAGGGTCGATTCAAAACATTAACTAATGTGAAAGGATATGATCGTAAGACGTTATTAGAACACTTGGTTGAAGTAAAGTTCATATTTTTGTTATGTGATGGGTTTGATGTCTTATATTCATATGGCATGGGTTAATAATAAAATAGTACCGTGGGTACTGGGCTCACATGGTGTGGTGCTCAAAAGTGATGGCTAAAACGGCAGAAATTAAAAAAAATGGATGTAATTTTTGCCAAATTTTTTGTAACAAAATTATTTCATACAACTACTCTTTACAGTGACATGACTTTTTACGATGCAAGACACCTGAAATTATTTGTAAAGCTAGGAAATGGGCCAAAAGTGAATCCTGCGAGACAAAAATGGCGACCATTTTGAAAATAGACAAGCTTTTGAACCAGGAGTCATAGAAAAGTAACATCATATATCACATATTTGCAATATCAAAACTAGACAACAAAAAAACTTGATGTTGAACAAATATGACTTAAAACGGGAATCCTATCAACATAGGTTTTAAAGCAAATGGTCCAAAAGTGAATTTTGTGTGACAAAAATGGCGGCCATTTTGAAAATAGGCAAACTTTTGAACCAGGAGTCATAGGGGGGTTTTCTATTAGATGTTGAACAAAAACTTAAAACAGAAATCCTGTTGACAGAGGTTTTTAAACTGGCCAATTGTTGACAGACGGACAGACAGACGGACAGACAGACGGACAAGTGAGTGATTGCAATAGCGAACCATGTGAGCTAATAAAAAATTCTTGATGAGAGATTATTCATTTACACAACGTGTATTTTTAATTAAATTGATCATTGAGTTTGATTTTGTCGTCTGACTGACTGAAAAATTGTTAGCCTTTCCAGCATGAGATTCATTTGTGTTTTACAGCCAACAAAAAGTTCTAAAAGTTACTTGATCTTTATAATTGGAAAGTTTCAAGTAATTTTAGCAAAAACCTACAACATTAGAGCAGGGTGTCAAAGACTTTTGGATCGCCTACTGTATTAAATATGAGAAAATGTCATCAGCTGAAAATGGTTATAGATGTCACCACTGAATGTTAGGCACAAATTTTGAAGGTAACCCTCAATAATAGGTGTAAAAACCATTTCATTCTTACTTTTAATCAACACTTATTTCAGTTATAAGGACAAACATGCAGTTAACAAAATGGATCTCAAGTAAAATTAAGTCCTCACTTTTAAGATAACACATGAAGTCATTTGTTTACTAAATAGGGTTATAAATCAATTAACTGGAGAAAGATGTTCATACATTTCAGCACAAAATATTGGAAACAACTTTATAGATGGTCTACGATTGGCTCCTATCATCTTGATCATGCCTCACAGACTGGTATTGCATCATTTTATACATGCACGCAAGCCTCAGGACAATAACATCATCTATTGATTTTTATCACAACCCTTGAATAATGGTACCACTATGATTTAAAAAATAACACTTCAAACACGCCATTCAATTACCAAGAAGAGGTTCAGGACTAATTATTATAGAATAACAATTACAAATAAGCACGGAATCATTTTGTGTACCTGAAATTAACATATCAGAATATTAGAGAATTATTATACTTTTTAGAAGATATCATTTTTTGTTATATGAGAAGCCTTTCTGGGATTTAGGGAGACAATTGTGCAACCAAAGCATCAACATCCCATTTTTATTTTATTATTAGCAACAGGTGCAACTAAAGAAAGGATTTAACTTCATCAGCAAATTGTTCACTGGATTTCAAATAACCAGCAAGTGCATTGAGATTCTAAAAGTTTCCAACAATTTAAAGATGACCCTTGCAATTACAACATCCGAGAAAGTGCTAGAAATCGCAACACTGTTGATTGTTTCTATGGCAACAATAATTGGCAATATTTTAATACTGATTATAATATTCATGAATCAAGGATTAAGAACGCATGTGAATGCATGTGTCGGGAACTTATGCATCACAGGTATCTTGATTGGAAGCTTTAACATTCCCATGACAATGGTTTCCATAGGATCAGGAGACTGGCCATTTGATGCAGCCGTATGTCAATTTGTTGGATTCTTCAACATGTTAACACTCGTGGAAAGTGTGATTTCGCTAGGTGTTATTAGTGTGAATCGTTTCATAATGATAAGCCATCATCAAATATATTCAAAGATTTTCAACTTTCGGCATACATCAATAATACTTGCAGGTACAGTAATTAAAAACACTCCTTTTTGTAAAACATAGAGATTTTTGAGCTTTACCTTTAAATTTTTTCTATTCTTACAAAAATTTGAACGTCTAAAAGACAAATACAAGGGTTGTAGAAAAAGTCTTGCTTGAAATAATTGCTCTAACTTTCTTGAATATTCTTCAATTCAGCTAAAATTTTGTGTATACTGCAATCGAAGTGTTATCTTATATTTCCTGAAATTTCAGCATCTTACATTTAAATGTTGTCTTAAAATGGTTGCTATAGCAGCACAGGGGCAGAGGTGGGTGGGGCAGGTACCAATTTTTGTAATCATGAACTGGTCTAAAGTGTTATTCAATTTATATTTCTTTCTTCCTAATCATCAAAATGTTTGGGAAATCATTAAATTTATTCAACATGATGTTCACCAAGCCCAAATAATCGCATTTGCACTGTGATGTTAAATTGCCACAGTTCAATAGTCCCCAATTCAAACTCTGTCACGGTCAAGAAATTGCAAAATGGCTGCAATTCACCAACTCCAAACCTGGGAGGCCAAAGACTCCACGAGTCATGGTGAAAAAAATTGCCAGGACTGAGTAAGAAGGCATCAAAAGTACATAATACTTGCAAAGGCCAATATTTTGAAAGTGTGAAATACACAATGTGTAGTATACGTCTATCAAATCTAAAATCTGCTACTAGTAATTTACTTAATTAATTCACTATGAATATATATTTAAAGTATTGAATGCATAGGATGTGGTCCTAAATTCAAAATTTTGGATTATTTTGTCTTGATTTAAGCCTCCTTATAAGTGCCCCAGTGGGGCAAAACTCATACTTTTGCAATATTCATAAAAATAAGGCCATGCAGTGTAATTTGCTCCAAACTTTACGAAGTGAACAACAAATGTTCAAAGATCACCCATGTGAAATATGATGCCAAAAGAATAAAAATTTAAGATATTAGAGCAAAAATGTCAAGACTTTTTGGACAACCCTCGTATACTGATTTTTTTACTAAACAAGGAAATTGATTAATCTGTTGTTACTGATCAATACATACAGAGTGACACTCTTGAATCAAGATTTTCCAATTTCCATCCCACATAAACAAACTGATGAAATACAGGGTGAAAAATACAGGGTGTCTATAAAGTATCTTTACACTTTACAGACTTTATATTATAATTGTAGAGAGACTTTATGGACACTCTGAATAACAAAAGCAATTGAATCATAGCAACTGAAAAGTTAATCAATAAATCTCTTTGTATTATGAAATATACACATTTAATATACGGCCATCTTTTGTCATAGATTAATGCTTTTGATTTCATTGTTTCAGCCTCTTGGTTATTCTCAGGCTCTATCTCTCTACCCCCTGCAATTGGTTGGGCAAGCTACAAATATATCGCCACACAATCTATTTGCTTCTGCGACTGGAAACACTCTGTGTCGTATACCGTCTTCATGTTTTGCCTCTGCTTCACTGCCCCATTTGGTATCATGACATTCTGCTACACAAAACTTATACTCGCTTTCAGACGAAGTCATAATCGAGTAAGAGCTCGATCTCCTCAAAAACGGAATGATGAGCTGATTCAGCCTAGAGATGAGATGCCAGTCTCAGAAACTACAATCTCATTAGTTCCATTTGAGCAAAATAGATTAAATGTACCAAAGAGAAAGGACAAAATCATCCCTGAGGAAATGAAACTGACAATATCATTGATGGTTGTTGTGGTAACATTTGTGTTGTCTTGGTTACCATTCTGTGTTGAAATGTTTATAACAGTGTTTTCTGAGGTGACATTGAACCGGGCTGGCAGTATGACAGTCTTAGTGCTAGGGCTTGCCAACAGTGCTTATAATCCGATCATATATGGTATCATGAATAAACAGTATCAAGAAGGTTTCAAGAAAATATGTCCAAAATGCTGGAAACGCCAAAACATTACAACAAATAAAGAGCTGATTGTCAGTCCCTCAAGTTTGACAACAAGTCACAGTTGAGTGAATCTCTAGAACATACAGTAATCATAAATTGATCATATATCCACAAATGAAAGCACGTAATCTGAAGTAAACATTAGATATAAGAAATTGTAAGAACAACATTATTTTGATTAAGCTATGGAAAATGATACGTAACTATCGTCATGTTAATAATAATGACTGCCATCACTATCAGAATTAACAGATTCAAATTGCCCTTTATAGACATGAAAATGCAATGTGCACTTATTTTGAATAAACCAATTATACAATCATGTACAGTATTGATTACAGTTTTATATACTATACTAGCATGTAACTCTTGTCCTTAGTCACTGTGTCAAAAACACTGTTGATCAAGTGAATGCAAAAATCTATTTTGAATGATATTGCATGTCCTTGATTGTATGTTACTAAGTGTAAAGGGTCTATTCAAAATATTAACCGAGGTGAAAAGATGTAATCTAATCATGCGAGGTATTAGAACACTTTGTTATATATTAATGTGATATCATTGATCAATGTCTTGTATTCATATAGCATGCACTGGCTGATCCACAAGCTAACAAGGGGGACCACATTTCCCACATTTGCCCCTAAATCCAAAAATTGGGCCCAAAATTTTGAAATTTAAGTCCCATTTTTTGATAATTTGGCCTATAAAGAAAGGCCCAAAAGCCCACTAAATGAGGCCCTACAATATTTTTGGGCCCAAAAATTTTTCTGCCCCCCCCAGAGATTTGCCAGTGACATGGGTTAATAATTTCTTGATAGAAGATTATTTATTGACACAACATGTATTTTAAATTGAATTGATCATTGAGTGTGATTTGTTGTTTGATATAACATTCTAGTACAAGATTATAGATAAGTGATAATTGATTGAAAAATTGTTAGCCTTTTCAATATGAAATTCATTGGCTTGGGGAGACTCAGTCTTGTAGATATGAATTGCATTACACTAAATGGATTTTTAATTCTGTTGATAACTTTGAAAACATTGCAACATATATACCTGGGCTAACTTTTGTATATTTTGGTTAGTTTTATAGTTTGGTTATCATGTGTGTGGCCTCTATTATTTTGATGTTTTTCTGCCTTGTTATTTTCCCTTATATGAATTAACATGACTGAAACTCCTTAATTACAAAAGGCTGCAGCTTTACTGCACATTGTGCAACCTAAGCATCTGGAATATACAAAAGTCAGGGCAGGTTCATATGTTTCTATTTCTTCATATCATTTTTGACTGTTGATTATGAATTTATAGTCAGTTATAATTACATTAGTGGTGTAACGAGTGACTCGGGTAATTGACTAGAACTCGAATGAGCCTAGAAAAATGATCAATGTATTGAAAATTTGAAAATCGTGATCCTGAAAATTTCTGAGAAAAATCGCGATTTACCCTACATACAGATTGTTTTGTTGATTTAATGGTCAGTTGATGAGCATAATTAGAATCGTATTCATTGCTTTTTATGTTTTTTTATATCTGGTATCCAGGTTCTAATTTTCTCAATTTTTTAAAAAAATAATCGCCAAAATCGTCTACTCAATTGTCAAATTTATCATTCTACTCGAATAGAGATTTTGGTGGCGAGTCCCACCACTAGTTATAATAATATCAGGAAATGGCATTCTGACAGTTTCATTGTTGGAAAATATTTTGTTGCGTCCCTAGGAACTAATCCTCCTTGAAGACCTTGTATAAAAGATGTATATCGGGGACTTGATTGAAAAATTATATAATCAGATGTATCAAGGACTTCAAGTCTGTTCAAATACAGATTTACAGTTTTTCCAATGATAACTGAAATGAAGGCCAAATCGGCGTTCTTATAAGTTCACAATGAGGCGAGGTCTAAAGCAGGATCTTGAGTGTATAGCTAGAACAAGGGAATTACACAAGAAATTAACATGATGCGAATAGTGTTGTCGCTATTAATGGATACATTGCAATGTACATCACCAAAAGTAATTCTGGCGATGCATTGATGTCTGAATAAAACCACCCTTTCCTATCTTGTTTCCATGAAAATGTCTCACCTTTCTCATTCTTTAGTTCATTTTCCTTTGAAAGGCTTTCACTATTAAAGTGTCACAATGAATCATGACATCCAGTTATTGTGTCATTAAAGTGAACCATTACCAGAAGGCATTTATTACTTATTTCTTGCGTTCAGTAGACTATTTTAGTGCATTTGCATTCAGCATTTAGTGAACTTTTTCTTGATGTACCTCGCAATGCAACGATGTATGATTATGGCGCATTACAATAACACTAGATGCAAGATAAGCTTTATGAAGTTATATCTTACCTGATCCAATTTCATCAACACCGTCCATCTTCTATTGGAAAATTTCAGAACACGGTCAATATGGCGTATTATTATTCAGTATTTCGAGCTAATCAACCTTTCATCATACGGTTTATTATTGGTTGTTTCATTATGACAATATATATTGATAGAATATATCCGAAATGCACAGTTATTGTAACTTTTTGTGACAAATTTCGCAAAAAAAATTTGTGAATTTTTTAATTTTACGACAATCGTAAATGAATAAGGTGGTTCAATTATGGTGCAGACTAATCTATCACAATATTTTGATTGGGTCTCAGTTAAATATAACACAGCAAACGGTGCATAAAAGTTAGATAAAATGAACTTCTTGCTGTTCAGAAGCAATAGAAAAACAAAGAAAGTATTCTAAATTGAATAAGATAATTGTAAAAGTACCCTTTTATATTTCGTGATTATCCCATTTCATCGGTGATGTTCACGCCGGGTTTTTACTTTGAAAAGTTCAAATAGTATATCACATCTTCAGACATCCTTCTCAGTCCTGTCAGCTCGAAATGTGACACAAAGCAAACATTTGCTTCATAGTTATCTGGTGTTTGGTAAGTAGACTTTCAGTCACACGTGCTGCGCCAACTATCATCTTGGAGTGTGATGAAGAATTTTATTCTGGCTCACGGATAGAATTGGGAAATTCTCCATGATCTAGACTACTAGCTAATAGGTTAGTATCTTTCTCCCATCATCCGTGCACAGGCACCATCTCTAGAGTTTATTACACTATAGGTATTAGGAGATAGGGATTACTTTGATTAGAGGGTATTGACGAGTTTTTGATGTACACCAGGCCTGGGGGGTTCACTGTATACAAAATTTGGCGGGGGTCCTAGGCTGAACCTTCAGATATCAATATATTCCCATACCAATCTGTCAAATTTCAATGTGTTCCCATACCAACCAAAATAACACCCAAAAGCCATACCAAATGCCCAAATATAAGACCAGTGCCATACCCAATGTACAAATACATGTATAGGACCAATGCCATACCAAATATCCAGATATAAGACCAAGGGTATTCAAAATGTCTAAAGCTCCGTAATCTCGCGAAATTCACTTTTGGACCATTCGCTTTAATACCTCTGTTGATAGGATTCCCGTTTTAAGTTATTATTGTTCAACATCAATACAGAAAACTCCCCTATGACTCCTGGTTCAAAAGCTTGCCTATTTTGAAATTGGTCGCCATTTTTGAATCTACTTTTGGACCATTTGCCTTAAAACCTCTGTCGATAAGATTCCCGTTTTAAGTTATTTTTTATTCAACATCAATACAGAAAACTCCCCTATGACTCCTGGTTGAAAAGCTTGCTTATTTTCAAAATGGTCGCCATTTTTGTCTCACAAAATTCACTTTTGGCCCATTTCCTATTTTCCTAGCTTTACAAATAATTTCAGGTGTCCTGCATTGTAAAAAACCATGTCATTGTAATACTGTAGTTGTATGAAATAATTTTGTTACAAAAAAATCGGCAAAAAATTATATCTGTTTCTTTTTTATTTTCTGCCATTTTAGCCATCATTCATTTTTGAGCAACACCATGTGGGCCCAGTACCCACGGTACTATTTATTGTACTTTGAATCTTAAATAACTTCAGCAATATTGATCCATGGAGGCAATTATACATATCACTTACAATTTTGTCACCCCCTATAGATCTGTGTCTATATCTGCCTTTGATTATTTATTTGATATCTGATTAAAAAATAACTAATGAGGTTTTAATATTTTTTTATGAAAAACCAGGCTACTTGATCTCCCATTGTCACGCCCGGTGATTGTACAAAATGGATGGAGGGGGGGATTAGGCGATTTCTGCAAGAAAACTCAACAAATTTGGAAGATTTATTTTTTCAAGAGAAAATTTACAACTGAATTGCCAAATGAATAGGCGCAGTGCATGGCAAAATATGTTAGCTCATCTAGTATTTTTTTTGAATTGATACCCTTCAAAGATATGAGATCTATTAAAAAAGGCGCATCATCATCAACGTGCAAAACTCAATGTTTTTGCTATAAATCGGGCAACAGTGGTCTACACGACCTGTAATAAATAGGTATAAGGGACATTATTATCACAATACTAATGACATTGCTCATTTTTTAAAGTTAGTTTCCATACGTTATACAAAAAATAATCGAAATAAATTAATATTGGATGGAGGGGGGGATTGGATGGAGGGGGGGATCACGTATATGTAAGACATGATAAGACATGCTACTTGAATTTATTCTTATGACTCCAAATTTTCCCATTTTTCATATTCCAAAGATATAATATCCAGTTTCCAGTTTGGGGTACTGAGTTTATTTTTTTCAAATACACAAGTTCTTGTGAATTTGTTCCATCGTAAAGCCATATAAATCCCCCCCTCCATCCACTCCCCCCCCTCCATCCAATATTAATTTATTTCGATTATTTTTTGTATAACGCATGGTAACTAACTTTAAAAAGTGAGCAATGTCATTAGTATTGTGATAATAATGTCCCTTATCCCTATTTATTACAGGTCGTGTAGACCATTGTTGCCCGATTTATAGCAAAAACATTGACTTTTGCACGTTGGTGATGATGCGCCTTTTTTAATAGATCTCATATCTTTGAAGGGCATCAGTTCAAAAAAAATACTAGATGACCTAACATATATTTTGCCATGCACTGCGCCTATTCATTTGGCAATTCAGTTGTAAATTTTCTCTTGAAAAAATAAATCTTCCAAATTTGTTGAGTTTTCTTGCAGAAATCGCCTAATCCCCCCCTCCATCCATTTTGTACGATCACCGGGCGTGATTGTGGACAAATCTCCTGATCCCACCCCATTAATCCCATCTCAACATCATAAGTTATTTGTTTTTAACTGTTTGAAAGATGGCAGCACCTCATTAGAAAATGCTTTTACACTTCATTTTAGATATTCATCTGATAGGAGGTGAAATTTGATGACATTTTTAATTTTACAAAAACTGTTTGTACTTTTGCAAAGATATTAAAATGGCCGACGGTATGAAAGATTTGAATAAAGCAATATTCATAAATACCAGTTTTTATTTTCATATTCAGTAGATTGTAAAGTGATAATATGTTATGAGAATATAAATCCATCGGAATACTTTTAACTGATTAGAAATATATTTTTGTTATTTTTTAGATTTTTAGACATGGGTATAGTGCTCATGTATATGGGGGTGGGGAGGGGACATATTTTAGATAGTACTGTTATAGTCTTATACACTTGAACACCTCCCACACCTTTTTGTCTCAGATGCCTTCATTAATTGGTTTAAAACTGTCACATGACTATTCAAAGAATCATGGTTAAAAACCTGCTGTGTTCAGCTGTTTACAATATAAAGTTTCACTCCAGTGATTTCATTTGAAAATATATCATCAACTTGAATAGGGTTACAGGGTCCTTTCAAATAAATAGTCCATGCAGAAGATTTATTTATTTATTTCTCTGGGCTATTTTGTCTCATACTACATTGAGTCGGACTTGTGCAGTGAGAAGAGGTCATTTTACGTGGTTTAGTATCATGATAGTAGAATCAGATGGTATCATGGGTATTTTTGGTAGGTGTATTCTTTGTTTGATTTACACTTGACATTTCATATAATCAAGATCTGAAAATAAGGTAATTAGTTAAATGAAAATCGGTTAGTCTGGATTTAGTACACACATGTAGGCATATTTAAATGTTAGCATATTTACAGATAGGCATAATTAAAGGTTGAGATATTTATAGATAGGCATTCATGTATTTACAGGAAGGCATATTTAAAGGGGCAATAAAAAAGGAGACAGGTTTAGTAATCTTTAAAATTTGTCGGCATTTTACAATATTTTTTGATCATAGCATTACCTCTTTTTTTTATCTCACATGTTCCGAATCTGAAATGCCAAGAGTTCTGTGTTTACTCAATAATAATCCTTTAATTATAAGTTTATTTCAATTTTTCTGAATTTGAACAATTCTTTAACCTTCAATAACTACCATATTTTATCATATATTTGATTGTTGATTTAACATTTAGAGATTATAATTTCATGAAAGTTAGGGAACAAATTACAATTCATAGCAATTTCATCATGGTACAAATACGTCAGGGTCCTAGAATGAGAAAAATAGCAGTATTTGTATCTTTACTTCCCAGATAACCTGTATCTCTATTTATAGGATATTAATGATTGTTAGAGATATGTAGAGGCATAACTTTTTGTAGATGGTGTTTGGCAGTTGGTGTTCTGCATTCATCATTCTGTGGTTGCGTTCAGTGGTCAGAGTTTGGCATCTGTACCAAATGGCTAGTGGTGACATTTTGCATGTTAATGGCTTTAAAATTTTGCCTCTAGTGACATGTAAGACTTTCACCATAGTTAAATCCTGCAATACACAGTTAAGTTAAAATGCATTTTCACACTAAAACTATCAGGCCCATAGCCAAGGAGTTCTCTTGGTTTGAGCGAATCCCCCCCTCTCTTTGCCCAAAATTTCTTTCATAATCATTTAGTTTTTTTTCATTCTGCACACATTTTAAGTGATTTTGGCCATTTGTGGACCAAAAATTGTCAAAAGTGAACACCACTGGAATTTATTAAAAAGTGCCCCCCCCCCCCTTTGGAAAACGCTGACTGAACAATTTGGATATTTTTACAATATTGTAAAACTTGACCTAAACTGTATCTAACAAAAATTCCATGTTCTATTTACTGAATTGATACTCATGTGATTAACACTTTGTAGAGAGTTTGCTTTAGAGATTACTGAAGTTTACAGAATGTTTCATGCCTAACAAACGGTGTATTGTTCAATATAACTGCTGTATTTATCAACTTGAAAATATTAGATTTAATGATTAAAACTCTGAATTGCTGGGAGTATGTCCAGTTTGATCAGTTGCAAGTAAAGTAAATACTACTTGATATTTGGCTATATACCAGATACTAAAATGAGGCCATTATAAAAGTGATGAGATATATTT